ATTTGTGGAAGGTGATGGAGAAGATGCTCTTGCTGAATCAGAAGTTATTGTAGATCCTTTTGGCAGTTCAGAATTCTAATGGTTTAGATATGGTGGCCGATCCAATGAAGGTTGCATAAAATAAATGTCAAATTATAGAAGATGCTGAAATTAAGGGAGGAGATGAAGTTGCTGTTAGGTAAGATTCAAATTTGAATGTAATTTCGAGAATCATCGCTTGATTGCTGAAAATTTGAATGTTAAAAATTCAAATTTTGAATCTCCACAAATTCAGGAGGAAGATAAGGAAGCTGATATCACTCCAACAAACGCAGCAAGGATTGGAGCTGTTTGTAAAAAAACTAATCTGTTGGAAGCAGTTTCTACCGAACCAATTATTGTTGCTGGTCAGTTGGGAGCTTTTAAATCTGATTTTTAATTCAAAAATTTAAATGTTAGGAGGAAGAAAAGGATGCTACTAATTATGAAACTAAATTGGTTGTTGTTCCTACTTTTAATATCTTAGTGGCTGAGTCTCCATCTACTAACTCAACAAATTTCTCTAAAATGGTAGATAGTGCTGTTGATATGAGAGATATTTCTCCTAATTCTGAGATCAATTTGAAAGTTAAAAAAACTATTTTTAAGAATGGGAAAACTTTTCCTACTAAAATAAGTGGTTCTTCCGACTCTAAACACATAATGTTCAAAGAACTTCAAACATTAGGACCGATGAAGGATCCTCCTAGAAGAAGGTTGGCTAAACTCAAAATGAAGAAAGATATTAGAGGTTCTTCTCTTTTATCTCATTAATATTCAAGAAGGTTTTCTCTTTGCTATCAACAAAGTGGAAAGATACTTGAAGATGGAGCAATTACTAGCTTTAAATTACGACTTTGGAAGTTGGAAATTGCATTTGGAATATCTATCATTGATATTCCTATGTGGTTTTTGGATGTATTTGATTTATTGTTCTCTCCTTTTTAGCTTTTGTTACTTCTCTTTTCTTTTTTATTTATTTTTTAAAATTATTCTAATTGCTTATGGGATCGTTACTAAGTCTAATTCTTTAACTGGTTGGAAACTCTGGGATACTAATAATCCTTCGGGTTATTTAATACTTTGTTATCCTCTGCATCTCAAGGGTTTTAAAATAGGAAATAGTGGGTTTCATTTCAATTATAATAAGTTTAATTTAACAAATATGCTTTCAATAAGGTTCCTTTTTCATTTTGAAAAATGAATCATTAGTTTCTTCTTTATAGTTTGTATTAGGTTGTTTTTTCTTTCATTTTAATTCAATTTTTGCATTCCTTCAAAAAAAAAAAACAAAAGAGAGGGACCTTGAGCTTGGACGAGAGATACCACCCATACAAAGTCAAGGATGGGCCTCAATTGAACGTATAGATGGAGAGGGGAGGTGCAAGAAATTCACATCCCCTAGGGGGGTATTTATAAGTGAAAGGGAGAAGTTGGAGAAGTTGGGGAAGTTATGGGATATATATATATATATATATAGTTTCAAAAAACAATCATCATTCTACCGGCAGTTTGGCCAGTGATTGCCAAATCACGGCCGGCCAATTTTCAAGGCATGAATCTTTATCGGGCATGAATATCGAGGCAAAATAGAGTTAGAACCTTCCAGAATTAAAATTGGAAGCATTCGAACTCTGATTTCAGCAAACTTATAGTCAAACTGAATGTCTCGTAAAGATAAACCCAACGACAGCAAATTTGACTCAATCTGAGCCTAAATGGGTCCAAATCATGGGTCTGCAGTGTTGTTAGAGGGTTTGAACCATAATTTAGAATACCAAACGATTTCCAAACATGATGTGCTTATAATAGAATCGAACGGCTCGATGAGATGAATGCAATAAGCCTAAGATCACTGAATTTTGACATCACTAAAACATTCAAATGTCCATCAAACAGCCCACGATCAAGGGATTCAATATTGGCCGTCCATCCAACCACTTCACATTTTCTCTTGATCTCTTACCTATTTATGGGCCATGTCACTCAAGAAATCTATAAATAGACCCCTTATTTCTCTTGGAAGGGGGGACCAGAGCAAGAAGAGAAGAAGGAAGAAGAGAAAGAAGAGAAGGAAGAAGCTCCTCCTCGACCACTGCTTGAGTTCCACCAGACCACTGCCTGACGTCGTTGCTCCGCTGGACCACCGCCTGACGTCGTTGCTCCACTGGACCACCACCTGAGGCCTGAACTTCTGCCGGACCATCACTTGAGGCCGTGGTTTCTTCCAGATCACCATCTGAGGCCCAAACTTCTCCCAGACCACCACGTGAGGCCCGGACTTCTTTCGGACCACAACATGAAGCCCAAACTTCCGTCGGACCACCACTTGAGGCCCTGGTTTCTAACGGACCATCATCTAAGGCGCGTACTTCTCCTAGACCACCACGTGATGCCCAGACTTCTACCGGACCACCACCTGAGGCCTAGACTTCTATCAGGCCACCACTTGAGGCTCGACCTCAATCACCAGACCAATAGTCTTTCTGACACACAGTCTCCTGCTAACCATGGTCTTTCAGACCCCTGTCTTCTTCCGACTGCAGTCCTTTAACCTCCATCACCTACTATGGTCCTTCCAACCTCCAACACCAGATAACGGTCTTTCCAAACTCTATCCTATCGATTATTGTCATGCCATCCAAACAAACATGTATATATTGTAACTTCCACCATATAATGCACTCTATATGATGTACATTTGTACCATCAAGCCAAGGCCTTCTCCCAAGGAAGGGCCTTATTTGTAAGCGACTGCAAATACTAGTGGATTCATTCAAACTAGGCCAGGCCCTGTGGTTTTTTCCCCTTTTTAGTGGTTTATACGTACAAACTATGGTGTCTCTTATGAACTCTACACCCTCTCTCTTATCTGATTGTGTACTGGATCTTCGTACAATGTTAAGGAGTTAAACTTTATATTTCTCTACCGACACGAATACTCCAGGCCAAACCACCTTATATCTCTAACCATTGAAAATGGGAAGATCGGCAACTCGATGGCTACGACAGAGGAAGGGGGAGAGTTGTGCATAATTAGATTTGAAAGGAAAGGGGGATTTTTAATTTAGACAAAGTCGCCAACTTACTTCAACCACAAAGTCGCCCATTAAACAGGCGACTTACACTCACTACATCATCTTGCCACATCCTCGTTTAACTATTTTAGGAAGACAAAAATAGCCATTTAAACGAGTGACTTTGCCTTTTTTTAAAATATTTTTAATAATGTGCTTAGTCACTTAATTAATTTTCTAATTATGCTTAGTTTAAAAATTTTCTATAGATAAGACTTAGAAAAAAGATAATTTTGACCCATAATGCGTTATCTAGATAAATATTTTAAAAAAAATTAATTAAAAATTTTTGTATTATTGGTATGAAAAAAGATTATAAAAATAAACCGAAAAAAAAAAAACGGAGGGCTCAAATTTTAACGATTATATTGAGGTTGTAGAACATGTTGAACAAAATAATTTAATAAATATTAAAAATTTTAAAATAAGATCTAAATGATATAATAATAATATAATAATTATATAAATATTTAATTTTGTGACTAAAAAATAAATAAAATTCATAAATAATATTTTTATAATTTTAAATTTTATTAACATTAATTTTTAAATTTAATTTTTATTCAAGCCTTAATTTACAAATAAACATATAATTTAATTTAAATTTGTACTAATTATACTAATATCAATAAATTAAAATATTAAATTATTTAAATATAAAAACAGTTTTAACTAGTCAATTTTAAATTATGGCGACCCGTTCACAAGTTGAACTAGTGATTCTAACATTGCCTAATAGAAACCCTTAAATTCTGTACTTGGCAACATCAAAGCCACCTTATTAGTAGTAGCCTTCTTGTTTGACCCCTCACATTGGGCTTCACGAAAGGAAATTTTCTTGGAAGTCCTCACATTAGAGCAGATAACTCAACAAGGTTTACTCTCTCAAGACTTGCAAGCTTTTTGATCGCCAAAGAAAATAAGTAAAGCTTTCTCAATGCAAATCCCAGACATATAAAGAGCCAAGCGAAAAGTGGCATCACATTATTATCATCAGTGTGAAGTCAATATAGCCGGTCGAGACAACAATAAAAATCAAGATAGTAACTCTACATTCTCTCCTTCTTCCTATTTGGGTTGAGTGAATGGAGGAAGTAAATCAATACTCATATATGCCCTAAAAGGGGAGCTCTCAACAGGAACTCACTTCATTATTCAAAAGCTGTTACACTCCTAGAACCTTTAAGATAACTTGCCTAATATAATCAATAGGCCCTACATATCGTCGGGGGCTACTCATCCAACTTCATAAGGATCTTGTCTTGTACAGGTTGGAAAAAAAAATCCTCACAAAGTTAGCAACTCGACACTCCCCATGTGCCTCGACACTTTTCTTAGTCACACGATCTCACCTAGACAGGTCATTCTAATACAAACCTCACAAAGCTTAGATACAAAAAAGGCCTATTCATAAGACACTTCATCTTGGAGCAACAATCGAACTTGAGGCCTCTCCATTTTCATAACAACATCATACTTGCCTATTTCTCTCCTCTTTGGAGATATGAGATCTCTCACACAAATTGTTGACAACATGAACAACCTGCTAGTCCTAAGTCAGTTGTTGTGGGTCGAATCACCTCACTAGTTGCCCATAGACTCTCCCAAACATGCTCATCTACTCAGACACTGTTGACCTCACCTAGAGAAAACTCATCGAAGCCATTCTGACCTTTCGGTCCTTAAACCAATCTGAAGATGATACATGGATAAATTAGTATATAAAGCATTGTATGTGTGCTCTATGTTGCAATATATATATATATATATATATATAATGTAATTTTTTATATAGCTCTCAAAATCCTATAAATTAGACCACTAATTACGTAGCATGGCTATTAATATGATCGAGTGTAATCCACGAATAGATCAATTTCTAAAAGTTACTAAGCACAAAAATCATATTTTTAGTAAGCAAAATGATCCTTTTCTTAGAGACAATTTGGCCAATTAAGACAAACTCACAAATACTTTAGATATAGAAGCTTCCAACCTAACAAACCACATGATGAGCTGTGTAGCAAAATAATTCTTAATACAAATATAATTATGGCCACACATTTTGAAGTGTAAGATGGTATCTACATTATCTAATCATTATATATTTGATTTGCTTCTCTGTTGATGTAACATCTCGAATGTTTTAATAAACCTTCCTTCTCAGGTTAATCCGAGCTCGCAGAGGATTCAACATTACCACTGTAAATTCAGACTTCTCAGAGAAATCAATCTCCTCTCCGTCCACGGCAGCCCATTCAAACTCCCTCACCAGATTAGCAACAAAGTACTCAAGGTGAAGCATGGCGAGACCAAGCCCAGGGCAAATCCTCCGCCCAACCCCAAAAGGCATCATTTTTATCTCTCTGTTCCCCGTAATATCGACCCCTTCTCCATCACCTCCAGCCATGAATCTCTCCGGTTTGAACTCCATGGGCTCTTCCCACAGCTTCTCATCCCAACCCATATCTGCCGCTGTAAAGTTAACCGATGCATTCTTGGGTATAAGGTATCCTTCAAATTCAACATCTTTTATCACGGAGTGAGGCAGTACGAGGTGCGCCGGCGGGTGGCGGCGCAGCCCTTCCAAGACCACCGCCTTTAAGTATGGCAGCTTCTGCAAATATTCCTCTTTGATTTCTTCTTCATTTATCCCTTTCAACTCCTCAAGCAGTTTGGCCTGCACGGCAGTCCGCGCTGTGATCTCCGCCATAATCCACTGCAGAGCAGCGGCGGTCGTATCCGTTCCGGCGATGAGAAATTCCGAACAGAGCGGTATTATTTCATCATCTGTGAGTTGGCTTCCTGCTTCCTCTGCTAGACTGAGGTCGAGGAGAGAATCCACGTATGAGTAAACGAATCTTTGTTCCCTTGCTTGTTTCTGATTCTCTCTGCGAGCACTTATCAACGGGAGAAAGAGGTCGGTCTGTCTTTGCCTTAACCGCGCCACAGTCCTTAACCTCCCCTGGAACATAAATCTGGAGAATAATTTAGGAACAAAAGCAAAGACCCTCATATACTTACTTGTATAAAGTAGGAGCTCCCTTTGTGCAGTTTCAATCTCCCTTATGGCCTTCTCATCAAGCTTTTCTCCAAAGCACATGAGAACCAAGAGGGCAAACATGGCTAACTGGAAGCTCTTCATGGCAACCACAGCTCGTTCAGGGGATTGTTCAGACCTAGTTTGGAGATCATTGAGGAGAAGGTCGAGGACCCAACGGCGTCCAGGGGCAAAAAGTTTGATCTTGACTGGGTGAAGGATCTCGGAGGTAAGGTTCCGGCGCAGGAGGCGCCATTGGTCGCCGTACGGGGAGGAAGAGATGTTTAAGATGCGAGAATTATGGAAGCGGCTGAAGGAAGATGGAGGAGGTCGCGAGGAAAAGGAGGCGCCTAGCTCGACCAGGGCTTTGTGGGCAAGAGAGCGGTCGACGATGAAGATAGCGGGTTGAGAGCCAAAACGGAGGGTGATGATGGGGCCGAGTTCAGAACGGAGTTTTCTGAGGAGGATTTCAATGTTGAAGAGGGATATGGAATGGCGGAGCCATAGGAGGCTGCCTAGAATAGGGATGGATGGAGGTCCAGGGGGTAGAGGTGGTTTCTTCGAAGGGAATAGGAGGAAGGCGATTATGACAGAAAGAAAGATGGGGATGAGGAGAAGGATGATGGACCACGCATCCATTGCTTGTTATCCTGCGTAGGAATTGCTGTGGTATATATTTCATAGTTAATGTGGAAGAGGGACATTTCAGCAGGAAATAGGACTCGTGTTATAAATGAAGAAACTTCGTCGATAAGGCTTGAAAAATATAATATTCTCATAATGCGTTATCTAGATAAAGATTTTTTAAAATATTAATTTACAAATTATGTATTATTGGTAAGAAAAACGATTGTGAAAATTAAAAAAAAAAAAGATTGTGAAAATTAAACCCAAAAAAAAAAAAGAAGAAATGCTTAAAATTTAATGATTACATTGGGGTTGTGCAAAAAGGTGAACAAAATAATTTAATAAATATTAAAATTATTTAAAAAAGATTTAAATGATAAAATAATATAATAATTATATAAATTTTTAATATATGTCTAAAAAATAAATAAAATACATAATTAATATTTTTAATAATTTTAAATTTAATAATCAACTATCGTGGTCAAACATCTTACTCTTTCAAATATTTTCTCACTAGTTAATCTTGAAAGTGGCTACAACATCACCATTTTATTTTTAGTAAAGCATCTTTATTTTGCTTAAAAGGATGGTTTATAGATAAGAACCTGTGATGATAGTCAAATCAAGTGTTCTTCCCTCTATGCTTTAAAGTGAATAACATAGTAAATTCCATGCAATATGGAGAAGCTAACATGCTTCCAGTGTTCCAACTTGAAAGCATATTATATACAAGAAAATATCCAATTATCCAATGTAATGTTGTCCTCATTATAAAGTTTCATTATGGTGGAGAAGTCATATGTACTAATTCCTTCTTCCCATAATAAATTTAAATCATTGATTAAAGGTTTCAAGAATACATCGATTATTACTTCTGGATAATGTGACCCTAGAATAATCAGTTTAAGAAACATTTACAGTGTAGCAATATATGACCGTGTAGGTGTAATGTAATGGGTGCGTATCACAAGCTAGCAAGAGAAAAGTGAAGCAAATTGGCTAAATTGAGTAAAGCCATCTATGTTTAAGTTTAATATTACATTTCTTAATTCTATGATGAAGGTAGGCTGTACACAATCAAAGTTCTTATAGTTCTCTACTTATAACGGATATGTTAAGACACCAATTAGGGAGATATGTTTGTTATGTCATCTCAGGTGTGCAATGATGCTCATAGCTACATAAAAATGTTACATTAAATTATGGTTAAGTAAAACATCTGTGTCATTGGTACATTCTTCTTCTTTTTTTTTTTTTTTTCAAAAATATGAGTTCAAATTTTGCACATTGTAGAAGTGAAATGTAATCTCTGATAAATCATCTTTGTAGTATAACATGTATCCATTAACATAACAATCTATTTTTACATATATCAAACCAAGTTTGAAAATTAGTTTCTTAGCCAAATATAAATATGTAGGAATTAAGTTATATGATGGGTTAGTATACTTAAGTAGTTGAAAGAATTGATTTTGATATTCATAGGGTATATTTATTTTATCTTCATATATAACATCCCCACAACAACTGATAACTCTTAGTGAGTAGTTCATCCCTTCAAAATTGGTTATTGAGAAGGATGCAACAAATCATAAAAGTTACAAGGATCCTTATTTTGCGGCTCTATTATATATTATTTAAATTTGGTCTCAATTGCTTCATAAACTATGTCCTTGAGCATTCGAATATTTTGTTCCTTAGTTTTATTAAAACTTGTAGATGGGCTGCTTCAAGAGTTAAAATCTAGTTTATTCTCAACATGAGAAGTTCAATACCAATATTATGGCATGATTCCTCTATGACATAGATCAATATTACCTCATCTGGTGTGAGGTGCACCTGATATTTATGTTTAGAACATAGAAAATGAAACCTGCCATTTAAGATAATGTATTACAATTGATAGGATATTTTTATTAAAAAAATTCACCCCATTAATGAAGTCATCTATTAATATCTTTTATCATTGTGCCAATCAATTATACATCCAACATCATTGATTCCTAATATCCATAATATGAAAAGTTTATCCTACACATAATTTGATGTTATTAGAGATTGTATTTACACTAATGATTTGGAGATAGCACTAATAAGAGTTAGCTATTCTTTTGTTGGATTTTTTTTTTTTTTGATAAATTTCTTTTGTGAATTTATAAAAGAGAGGTTACAAATATTCATTCAAATCATTGGTTAATAATCCCTCATGAAATATTATTATATTTCTTAGATATTGTTTGCAATGTTGTCACGCCATTCTTCATAACTGTGGGCTCCAAAAATTTGGCCCTAACCTCCGCCCGCTTTGCTTTTCTTCAGGGGAGTTTTAACAAAATTAAGTTTTGGGGTAAATTTTGATAAGGTAGATGGGTTTGTATATAACCCAGAGATTTCGTCCTCCCTTTATGGGGACTTCCTGATTTGAGCTCTTGTTTCCTATAGACGCAAGCTCCTATAGTTAATCACCCCTCTCGATCACGACAGAACTTTCGATTAAGGCTAATAATCGATCAGATATATTGAGTTATATGGTATCTAGCTATAGTAGAAATATGGATTTACGATATTGGAAAATTAAATATTGAGTTGGAAATTTTAATATTTAAAACTAGAAATTACACCATCTTGTACTTAAAGCAGATGGTGGGTGGGGGAGTGGTTGATAGACCTGATCAAGATCCCATGGTTCCGTCATCTCAAGCTATCGTGGTTCTTAGTCTACTAAGTCAGAGGAGGTAGTCGACCCAATCTGACAGAAAAATCCTTATCAGTAGTAATGGGTTGCTTTGTCTAAGGGGATCTTGTAGACCAGGGGTGCATATTTATTTATGGACACAAATTTGAATCCACCTTAGCTAACAAAGGGCTTTGTACCCTATTAACTATATCCTATTAATTCATATCTCAAGAATTTAATTCCACTAAGGAATGTATTGATTCTAGCTATAACAGGTATTTCGTGATTCTATTTGGCGATAAAACCACTCAGTTCAAGGGGCCCGGGTCATAACCATTTATCCTGCGGTGCTATTTGGCGATAAAGCTTCCAGTTAGATGACATGTACCACATCTTTACTAGCAGAAGATTATTTTAAGAATGAATTATAGTGATATTTTTGATTAGGCATTAGCTCTTTATGAGATGAGGTTATTTTCAACTTATTCATCACGACAAACTATTATAGAGGGTGGATAAATCTTACTTTAAGTGATTTTTTTGATTGAATTTCAATTTTAAATATCTGGATTTAGATGATTTTTGGAATTTAGGATTTTTGGGTATTTGTGATGATATTTTTGATTATTTGGAATTGACAACTCAGTTGAAATCTATATTCAATGTGGCCATCATCGGGTTGACTTTCAAGTCACTAAAAAATATTTGAATTTTGTAAGAGTATGAGGGCATTTTAAAATATTTAAAATTAACCCATCTGGTTGAGATTTGCATTTGTCACGACCATCATCGAGGTGAGTGGTTATTCATTAACTTAACCTTGTCAACCCGATCAACTTGCCAATAGGGGATCGGGTTTCATAGATTTTATATCTTTATTAATAAATTTTATTTTTTGAAGGTCTTGAAGGCCTTATATGAACTTATAAAACATATATTTTAATTGACACACTGATCATATATCTGTTTGATAATTCAAGCCGTGTTGATTCCCATCTATCAATATAGAAGGATCGGGCTTGAATTACGTTCATTTATTAACCCAAGCAACATTCCTAGATATCACATGTGTACTCTCAACATGGTCATCGGGGCCCATGCAGGTGTTTGAGTGCATTTTATAATTATTTGTTGAACTTTATCAACTCCTATTTATATGCTTAAGACGATTAGGTTCAAATTTATTGACCCGTATAACATCTCTATACGTCACGTATGTTTCTAAAATACGCTTACCAGGGCCTATGCAGGTTTATAATTGCACTTTAGCCTTTTTATATACTTATGTATATATGTATTATAGTGCATGTGTAGGGGCGTTATGGACATTCAATAGGTCTTCTACGGTAACTCGTAGAAGCTTGTTCTTAGCATAGACCTTCTGTATTTGCATATTTTATACATGTAAACTATGGTGCACTACTTATTATTTTTTACTGGTAGATTGTAGTAAATTAATAAATCTTTTGCTTTAACCTCTAGGTGCTTGCATTTGTTGTAGTTCTCTTATATTTTGTTTATAGGCAACATATATGATGTATAACGAACCTCCTACAGTAGCCCATAGGAGTTCACATTTACTGTGATCATCTACAATTATACTTATTAGACGTCTCCCTGCTCATCATTTATTGACTTTTAGTATTTTTAGATAATTATTTTATCCATCGATGAGTTGAATGTTCATTTAAGAACTAGTCCGAGGCTAACAAAGAGGGGGGGGGGGGGAATTGGTATTTTAAAAATTTTCTTAAGCAAAGCACAAATAAAAATCAAACCAATATCACCACAAAAAAATCAATGTGCAAAAAAATAAATACAGAACGTAGTAAGAAAAGAGCACAGAGAATTTATAGTGGTTCAGTCAACTTGACCTACGTCCACTCCCCGGAGGCACCCTCTGGGTATTGCACTATAAACGTGACTCTCCTTTTTCTCCCACAGCAAGGCGGAGAAGTCCTTATAAAAATTCCTTTCCGACAACTCCGGTGAGGCAGAGAACCCAACATCTTTTGCTTCCTCCTGAAGCAGGCAGAGAACCTCGACCAATTACTGAAGAAGACCTCCCTTGAACCCCAAGGATGAAAGATAAAGACTGGAGAAGACACCTTGGAACCTTTCTTGGAGCAACCTTTGTGAGTCCCTCTCATAAACTCCCCCTCACAAGTTCCTCCCTCTCTCTCCCTCTCTCTCCCTCTCCTCTTGGCTCTCTCAGGTCAAAACAGCAGCAAAAGATCTTACAAGATGAAGAATAAAAGTTCTTAAATAGAAGAGCTTCAGAATAGCTCATTAATTGCAACTTGCCAACTTTATCGTCCAGGACGATATAAATACTGTCCTGTACGATTAGTGCAATTTAAGCTTATTCAGCTAAGATTATCTGGGACAAACA